ATATACAGAATAGAATGTATAAAATGTATTTATTAATTAGATTATTAATTAGATTATTAATTAGATCTTTTTGAACCCTATAACTTTTATCTGTAACACTTTTTCCAAAAATGCTTAGTTTTCGAGATATTTCGTCGTCCCGCTACTTATTATCCTATCTAACCATATATAGGGTGGCATCAAATTATGGGATCATCCATCCTGAGTAGGTAGAGTGAACTAAACCGACTCGAAAAGTCTTCTACTATTTTGTAGTTTGTACAATAAGTTAACGATATATTAATGGATGCATCCAGAAGCGTTGACCGCTCACTGAACGCTCACTGAGCAAAAAAGGGATTTATCTATTATTAATATGTTTATTTATTATAATTCATAACGTAGAATAACTTTGACTACTATAGATAATCTTTAATATCAGTTTTTTTTACTTATTTATTACTGTTTATTATTTCTCTAATGCCGTGTTTAGACCGTAAGGTTATGTAGAGCTCAGTGAATGATGGAGCGTAATTTTAAGTCGCTAAAAAATTCTAATAACGTTTTTTTTTGCAGTTCTCACAGTGAATGAACACTTTATTCAATCTATTGCTTTTCTTATATTTTCTTGATATGTATATAGACACAATTAAGTATACGTTTTATACATGAGCAATTAAAAGAATGCAACACTTTTTTTTTAATGAGTTTCGGAATGCAATCTGCTTACCGAAGGATTGGTTATTACTAGACTGCAGATATTTATGCAAAATATTTAACTATATTTTGCATAAGGTGTGTAAAGATCAAAGTCATCGGAGGTGAATTGCCCATTTTTATTTTAATAACTTCTTAATAATCAACGAGCGATTATCAAAACCCTTCGATGGTCATTCAAAGTCATGACCTTAACAATATATGTCAAGGTCAACATTGTCGGATTTGAATTCCCTATTTTGTTTTTAATGACTTTGTAACGTGCGACTCATTTATTTTGCATATCGTGCATATATACTGCATAAATAATGCATATTTTTTGTGCATATATTTTGCATATCTCGATGTGCATCCATTAAACAACTTAAAATTGTTAGTTCAGTAAAGATCTTTTATTATTGTTAAATCCAAAAAAATGTTACTGCATAAAAATCCGCAATCTATTATAGTTATTACTTAATAATTCTTAAGTAAGAACCAATCGCTCGGTGAATAAGCTGCATTCTGAAACCCATTTAAAAATATGTGTTACAATCTTTTAGTTACTGTACATATCTTGGACATTATATATGACAATATGTAATTATATATGAGATATAATTATACAAGTGTTTTATAAGAAAAAAACACTCTGTATGTGGCACCATATATGATCATATAAAAAATATAAAAACACATATATAAAATGAAGCTCGAAAGAATCTATCAGTTAAAAATGTAAAAAAGCCTATCACACAGAGCCTAAATATAAACTAATTATAAAATAATTATGTAACTTCGATTTATATGTTATATTGATAAGGACCCAAATTGAAGAATTGAAACGTATATTTTATTCGTTCTGTACATTCACATGAAAATAAAGAATTTTTTGTGCATCTGAATAACTGATGTAGGCTCTGATAGGCTTTTTTACATTTTTAACTGATAGAAATATAAAAAGTTCTGAAACGGCAAAATATTTAGAAAGCTAAGTTTTATAAAAAATGTTTTAGATAAAAAAAGTTGTAGAATTTGAAGAGGCTTAGCTACTGGTTTCATCAGTTTGATCGTCACTAAAGTCATGACAAGGTCAACTCGAATTTTTTAAGTGAAATCTCTCACTTTTTCTTTCACTTTTTTATAGCCTCTTATAATTTTATTCACTTTAGGTGAGTTGTTTCGAAGTTATTGAGTATTTTATAGTGAGATATTGTCAACTATAGGCGAATTAAATACGAAAACTGTTCGTTTTTTGCTCTAAAACTTATATATTTTATTTAACAAGTCATAAGCTACAACATATGTGAGAAAACTACTTGGTTTCATCGGGAGTCAATTTCATAGAATTGGTGCGGAATCCTTTCTGGTTACAACTCCAACAGTTTGTTATTTACAAATAGATGTGGCCAATCACAACGTGGCCATTTGCAACGTGACCAATTGCAACTCGTGGTCAATTGGGACGGTGATCAAATGGACGCTACTCAAATATAAGGTTTGTTCGCGTCGCATGCTTCAGCATGCTTTATCGTACACCTGCTATAGCTTCTACTTACTTCAACGAGTACATTAGAGTGAGTAAATGTAATAGGAGCATATTAGAGCATGTTAGAGCAAAAATGCGACGCGAAAAAATCTATAGTGACGCTTACTGATGAAATGTCGTCATGTGAAAGTAATAATTTGATATCAATCAAAGATGTTTGAGATCGGTAATTCGAAAGAAAAGCAAGAATTCTTTCAGTCGTCCGACAGTAATTGTCATTGAACGCACGCATAAAGTGAGCTCGTGATTTCATCTCGAGCATGATCTTAATCCTCGTTAAAAATCAGCGATTTGGCGTTCTTTGTTCTTTCAAAACAATTCGGTACACGCAAACAGGCACCGGTAACGGACATTCGAAAGTTCTAGAACAATTCAATTCGCGCACGCGAGCGCCGCGCTCCGACGAATACGTCACGCGCTGTCACCAATCCCACGTATGGATTTTCTGTCGCGCATGACTGTTACGTTGAAGTCGTTAGAAAAGAATCCAAAGCGCCAATCAATTTTTTACACCTAATGCCACGTAATAATTACGATTGTGGTAAAATTTTATTGGATTTTTCCTAAGAAGAAAGCCCAGGCCGAAAGCAATAAATGCTTCGATCTCGCCGTCCTCCTTCTTAGAGTCAAAAAAGTTCTTAGAGTTCTTAGAGTCATAGTCTCGCTACTATATCGCTTCGTAAAACCGCCGTGCTAACCGCTTAGTGAAAA